TCATGGTCAGAAAGTGAATATTCTAATGACTCAGTCACATGTCAGTACCTCATAACTAATGGACTATTCTCCATTTTGATCACATGGAAAGAGGGGAAAAGAGATTATTTGGTTTCACTGAGAAAATGGAAGAAAGAAGGAAAGATAGCAGTTGCTAGAGAGTATCAGATTAAGCTGATAAAAACAGATATTACACATTGATCTCAGCCAAAAGGCCGAGAAGTGGGTATTTTTCAGTGAGCCTAAATCACTACCTAATATGACACAAGGTCAATTTAAATTGGGTTAAATGGCAATATTGGGAAAAAAATTGCCAAAGTCACCTTAGCAATTCCTCTTTTGGGGACACCTCAGGTGCTTGACAATAAACCCAGCACCCTCCCAAAAGAGAGGTACTGCCTGGGGGTAAGTCTCCTTAGGGCTTAGGTTTACTTGAATCTCCACAATCCCAAAGTATTTTCTTGCTGCTCTACACTGGCAGGATGAACAGTATCAAATGATAGAAACTGCGTAAGGCAAAAATCCAGTTTGCATAAATAAAATAATATCATCTGCTGAATTATTTTTAAATTATTATCAAGAGAAATGTTTGCAAAATGGGAATTTGGTTAGAAAGAAGGGAAGATAAAAGTGTTTAATGTCTCCTGTCAAATATCTCATAAATAATGGACTATTCCATATCTCATAAATAATGGACTGTTCCATTTTGATTGTGTAGCAAAATAAGACATACAAAGGAAGAAGGGGAAATAAAAGTGTTTAACAGCTGAAATGGAAAAAGTTCTCAATTTCAAATTTCTTCATTTGTACCCCCTTACTTCTTAAAATAACAACCAGCATTCATATTTATGATAGGTATTGCAATATTTTGTTAAAGTTATTAAGCTCAAATATTTTAGCAATGCGCTAGGGGAATTTCTACGGATAGAAAATGAGTTCAGTAAATATAGAAAATTAGAAAGGGGTGTGAGACATGGATGTATCTTCTCATTGGACTTATTCAACAATTAGGCAGAGAGAATTAGAACTCCTGTTAGGATCCATTATTGGTGAATATAACCTTAACAACATAAGCATTAATAGCAGACATAGAAAGGAAACTACAAGAACAACTAAAGAATGTAGTAAAATAAAGTGAAAAGAGAGAACTAAACATCAATTGCTAGGATATTTAATACATTGTTGTTAGTAAAAGGAACAGATCAACATGGAAATTACAAATTGGAGGTAGCAAAATTAAACAAATGCAACAATTTAAATGGAAAGTCTTTTAACAGAGGACAGAAAGTGCAACACTGAATTCTGAAAACATATTGGTAAAACAAAAGATGCTTTTTAAAAGCTAAGCAATGTATTGAGAAATAGGAAAATTTTGTTAGAAACAAGGAAAAGAGTAATAAACCTGTTAGGCTATATGACAGTGAATGCTGGATACTCTCATCACAGATGAAGAAGCGACTTGAAGCAACAGAGATGTGGTTCTCCAGAAAGATGTTGGGTGCTATGTGAGCAATGACCAAGTTTTACAGCAAATGGAAGCAAAAAGGACACATCTGCTTAACATCAGGAAAAAGGCAGTTGAAACTTCTAGCGTGCATAAAGAGGAAAATTTGATTCTCACAGGAGAGAATGAAGTCAGGACGGACAGAGGAAAATAATGCAAATTTGAGTAAATGGATGACACACCAGGATTTAGGAGTGATAACAAAAAAAGACCAAATTTATTAAGAGCTACAAAGGACAGGAAATTGTGGAGGACCATGACTGCCAATGTCCTGGAGGGACATGGTACATGGAACTAAAGAAAAGGAGGAGATTGACAATGATTTAAAGAATGAAATTAAGAAAGTTTAGAAAGGATTAGTAAAAAAAAGGTAATTACAGTGTCAGTGATGATTGGAGCACTGGGATTTTGTACAATAGTCATGAAAAATCCTTCCAGATATTGGATTACAATCTAAAAGCAGAAAGTTGCAAAAAGTTTGTCTTCTTGGAAAACCAAGAATATTCCCAAAAGTTGGATACATCATGTTGGTGAAAAAAACAAATGACTGATTTATTTTCTTAAGTACCGAAAGGTAAACTGAAAATGAACTTCTTACCAACAACCAACATTTTATGCTGTGTGGAGTGAATAATAATAATAATAATAATAATAATAATAATAATAATAATAATAATAAATGTGGCACATGGGAACATCAACAATCATTGTTGTAGGTTGTAGTTGGAGCCCTAGGATTGGTTGGCAAAGATTCCAGTAAACTAATTGAAGGGATTCCTGGAAGCCTATACCTCAAAGAAATACAAAAAAATTGTTCTCACAAGTACAGCTCACACTTTATCAATGTAAAATATTTTTATTTATTTTATTTTATTTTTTTTTAAATTTTTTGTCAGTGGAAAGTGTCATGATGCCTGGTAAGTAATGTGTACATGCCAGAAATCAAAGGAAATAAAAATAATCATAATAATAATAATGGTGAGAAAGAACAGTTCATAATAGTGACAGTAAACTACATCTGGCAGCAAAGCTTCTTCTGTGGAGTGTGGAACCACCTCTTAATGGCTGTTGTTACCAAATAAACCCTGACCACCAGTTAGGGTCCCAGCTATGGGCAAATAGTTAACACCCAAAATGGTGTCAAAACACTATGAAAGTATAAATGCATTTTCATTATTAAAATACCAGCAATATATTTTTGTAAATGAAATTACTGTTACACCCCCAAAAATTAAATTTTAGCATTAAATGACCCACAAGGAGTCATTATACCACTAAATGAACAAACAAACTTATATATTTCCAATGAGAGGGTCATGAAAATCCTCAATCAGCTTTTTTCTGGGTCAATTTGGCCATAGTTCTGAAAAAAAAAGATATTACCATCAATTAATTTTGTAAAAAAAAAAAATAGCAACAATACATTTTTTTTTTGTCAAAGAAATTACTAATGGCCTGAAGAAAATTAAGTTTTGGTCTTAAATGACCCATAAGGAGTTGATTTGCCACTAAACAAACTTATAAATTCATAATAATGATGATGCTGATGATGATAGATTTAAAATTCATTATTTATTTAAAAAATATCAAACAAACAAAGCTATAAATAACAAATAATGATTGATTGCAGTTTTGAGTTTGGAATTTTAAACTTGATTTCAAAAAAGAAAACGGTGCCATATGATTTAAATTCTGGTTTTCTTTTCTCTTTAAATATCTAAAACTGTGGAGACTTTAAATATTTAACTACAAACTAATGAGAACAGTCCAGCTACTAATGTCAAAATGGTGGCAACTTTCTTATACAGATGTTGGATTCTTGGTTTATTTTGAGGACGGCGCAATCAGATTTCTAAAAACTGTCATCCATATTCTCTTTTTAACTAATTTCTTAACCCCATTTGATTTCTTTGTGTTTTTCTTTTCTTCCCTTTCATCACAGTCTCCTCCTTATCCTCCATTTGTTTCCTTCTTTCTTCTTTCTACTATAATCTGGCCAAATATGTCAATTCTTCTTTTTCCATTCCTCTTAATAGTTTTTTCTTCATTTCTATTCATCATCCTTCTGAATTGCTTTTGATACTTCTAAAATTATTCTTGTAACTTCTTCACCATTTTCTTTTTTCTTTGTTCACTTTTTCTTTCTTTTCTTTTTTCTTCCTTCTTTTCTTTTCCTTTTCTTTTCATTTTCTTTCTCTAAAATTCTTTTTCATTTTTTTCTTTTCTGCTACCCTTTTTCTTTTATAACTGTTCTTCATCTTTTCTGAAATTGTTCTTGTAACTTATTCATTATTTTCTTCTTCATTTTCCTTTTTTTCATTTCTATTTTCTCCTTCTCTTTCTTTTACTCTTCTACTTTTCTTTTAGTCACTCTTTAATTCTTCTAATTTTTGTTGTTGCTGTTGTTGTACTTATTCCTTTTCTTGTCTTTTTCATTATTCTTTCCATTTTCATTCACTCCCATTTTAAATATTTTTCACTGTTGTTCTTCTTCCTCTATTTCTTTCATATTTTCTTTATCTTTCTTCTTTTTTCTTCTCTTTCTTCTTCTTCTTCTTCTTCTTTTTCTTCTTCTTTTCTTTCAGTCCATCTTCTGTTCTTCAATATTTTATTGTTGTTGGTATTGTATTTCTTTTTCATTTTTTCTTTTTCCTTCATTCTTTTTCTTTTCCTTTTCCCTCTTTTTAAATATTTTTCTTAGTTTTTCTTCTTTTTCATTTCTTCTTCTTTGAAATTCTTCTTGTAACTTCTTCCTCATTTTCTTTTTCATTTTTCAGTTATCTTCTTTCTTTTCTTCTCTTTCTCTTTACTCTTTCCATCCTTTTCCTTCTTTTGAATCTCTTCTTCTTCCTTTGCTTCTACCGCATTTTTCTTCTTCTTAATCTTCTTTCTTTTTCTTTTTTTTCAATTTCTTGTAATCAACCAAAAATACCAGAATACATTGTGGCCTGACTTTTCGTCTTCTATATTGAGAACATCTAAAAACATGGACTGCAGCAGAGGATAAATTTTTAGTGCAAAATTGCCATCTGCTTATGGCACTAGGAATCTATTTGCATTTGCTCCAAGAAGATTCTTCCAATTTCCCAAATTCCCTGAAGAAAAACATTCAATATAAACTCCAGGAGGGAAACCTTTTAAAGTGTATCATTTTTAGTCTACATTCTAAATATCAGGTTGATAACACTCATGCTCAACCAAATCATTCACCTGATTCCCACTGAAATTGCTGTCTATGTGGGGAATTACTAAACTTACCTTACTTTAGGAATGTGGGGAATTCTGTGAAAATCTAACACACTACAATTTAGTAATGTTATTTGAAACTAGTTTGTTTAATATTTCTCCAGAGTGTGATATTCATGTTTTTATGGTTATGCTGTGCAGGACTGACAAAGCAAATATTGCCTGCCAGGACTGCACAAAACACATTGAGAGACTGGAAAATCAGGCTATAAATCTATAATATAATTCTCTATTTCTTTCTTACTTTGTTACCTATTCCCATGTGATCACCAAAGTTAAGCAACATTGAGCCTGATTATAACTAGATGGGTGACTGCTTGGGAATACCAGGTGCTGTAAACTTGGATGTGTGAACTGTGGAATGGATAATGTTAATCAGAGAGTCAAGTTCCAATTCCCATTGGATTTATTATAGTTAGTTATGTGCAAAGACCCTTGAGAAAGTTATGAGGCTATATCTTCTCCTCCCAGCTATGGATTAATTAGTAAGATTGTACCACTGAGCTATTATTATCTCATAAAAATAATTCTTACAATGTAAAAAAATATTTTTCTGGCTTTAAATAACCTCCAATGGTTGATAAGCTGTAGACAACAAATCAATATTTCTTACCTTGTCCTCCCACATCACCAAAGCACATATACACAACTAATTTCCCAACAGAATAAGTTTTGTCAGACATTAAAAAAGGGTTAGAGCTTACAATAATGTTCAAAACCCAAGAGCCACTCGACATAGAGGTTACAGAATTTGTGGGCAAGGGACATAATTGATATTGTTAAGATTTGACTTCTTTCTTTGTCTTTTTTTAAGATATCAATTATGGCTTCAAGACAAGTGAGGTCATCCTTATTCAGAATATTAATGTCTGTGTGCTGTCTCCTGTCCTTTGTAGCCCTTAAAAATATTTTTCTTTTCCCAATATCTCTGAATATCTGTTCTGTCAGCCATTTACATAAGCTTATTAGGTAGGTTATGTACTGCTTTCCATGGTCACTTTTGTCTGCAATATGTCATGTCAGTATCAAATGTTCCAAGTCGTCTTTCCTCATTATGTACCATAAAAATCTCTTTCTGTCACGTATAAGTGTCATTTATGTCTCCATTATCTCTAAAACTTTGTTGTGGTTCACATGTTCCATCTATGGTATTCTCATTATACTTCTGTAGAACCACATTTCAGTTACATCAAGTCTCTTCTTCATGTGTGCAGCATTCACTGCTATATATGCGGATTGATGTTACATAAGAGTTCAGCAGTCTTTTTTTTGTTTCCAAATAAATTTTCATGTTTCTTAATATGTTTAATTTTTGGAATGGATTTTTTGCTATGCCAATGTTCCTTCAGATTTCAGTGTCACATTTTTTCATACTCTGTTGAAACACTACCCAGATATTTACATCTTTGCACTTGGTTTATTTTGGCATCCCCAATTTGTAATTTGCATCTAGGACTGTCCCTTTTACTGACAACCATAAATTTTATCTTTCACTTTATATTTATTCTTTCCCTCTCACTTTCCTTTACTACCTTCTGTGAGAGTGTTTCTACTTTCCTTTCTGTGTTTGATATCAAAATTGTGTGAGTTGAATATCTAATATTGTTAAGTTTGTGGTTGCCAATAATAAATCCTGGTAGAACGTTATTGCTGCATATTGCACTATCAAATTTTAGAAGCAAGTCAACAGGTTATGATCAAAATAGACATGAATAGAATAGATAGGTAAATAGTTGTTAGCTGAATCAGGTAATTATTTCCAAAAAGAATGTGACATTCTGAAAAGAACTACATGTACAAAAAGCTGTTGTTAACTGGAACAAGGAATGCCTTGTTAATTTTAATACCACCAAAATAAAACATATCTCTATTAATCATCTCAAAGACCCCTTCCTGGCTCCCCTCAGCATGACTGATACTAATCTCCATGGGTGATATGTTATGCCTTCTCAAGCTAACATTATCAGCTGACATGCAAAGATGATATTGAATCCATTGCTAGGTCTGCTGCAAAGAATGTTGGTTCACTATGCTACGATAGACAATCTTTCTCTTCAGAAAATAATTTACATATTTATAAGTCTACAATTCATTCATGCTTTGAATATGACTGCAACATATGGTCTTGTACTCCTCCTGTATATTTAGAGATTCTTAATAAAATCCAAAGAAGAATCAGCATTATTATTGATCCTCACCTGGTGTCTTAATTTCAGCCATTTTTCAACTGCCTTAATATAATTTCCCTGTGCCGTTTCTATAAATAATTTCATGGTAATTGTTCAGATAAACTCTTCACTATGTTATCTAGACTTTATGAATTTAGACACAGTATTAGATTGGAGGCAATGTCTCATCAATTGACAGTTGAATTGGCTAGATGCAACCATGAGTTCTATGCTGATAGTTACTTCTATCACACTTCTAACTTGTCGATCTGTGAAGGGTAGTATTTGACTTCATGCCACTAAGAGAAATTGAATAAACAAAATGAAGATTTAATTAGAAAATGAATAACCAATGATGCACGGAGAGACAAAATGTGAAAGTATAGTGAATGATTAACCTTAAGTCAGTCTGACATTGAGTGAGTGTGGCTGAATCTCCATTTTGTTGGGACAGCTACTAGACATGTCTAAACTCAATGGTTGGGAAGTGAAAATAGAACGATCATCTCCTTTCCAGAAGTGGAGTCATAAAATTCACACGTGATCGTAACTCTTTTTGGTTTTCTTTTGTATTAAGGGAAAATTAAATTCTTTATATTTTCATTCTCCCAGAGAACTCTCTTTTGACTCCATCCTTTCCAACCAAATTTGATCTTCAAAAATTCAAATATAATCTCAATCGTTATCTAGTGTCTTCTTGATTACTCTTCTTCTATTGTTCTTTCTCCTTAATAATGTTTCTATTTTGGATTATTCTTTTACACTCAGTAACCCCTTGTGCCTTAGTGGCTATACTGTCTTGCCTGGGGCGAAATGATGAAAAAACTACTTTCATTATTTACATTGATTGGACTGTTCTAATTTTTATTGTCATATTCAAGACATTTCAGCTGTTGTATGCCCCAACCTTCTTAATGTGATATACATTAGGATTTTGAATTAAATACTTTATTTAGTCCCTGGGAATAGATTTTTATAATTCCATGTACCATGAATTTTTATAACTATCTACCCTGTGTTTGGTTCAAAATTCTAACATATATAACCTGAAGAAGGCCAGAATGTACAACGGTCGAAACGTCGTTAATATGGCATTAAAGATGATGATAACAGTTTGAATGATGTGAATATTGCAAATAGTTATAATACCTAATCTCAGAAATATTAACAGATGTTAAAAGAAAAAACAATTTGAAAACAAAAGACAGTTTGAAATGGAATTTAGAGACCTCACGTGTGAAAGTCTTTTACTCTAGGATCTAAGCCAAATTTAGCATATCGCATTTCAAGTATTGTATCTCTCAAGCACTGAATATTTTCAGGAAAGCAATTTTAGCTTTTAATGCAGATAAACTTGTTTAGGGTAATGAGACTTCTTTTAGATTTTGAAATGATTTCAATCTTGGAGAATTATGTACATAAACTCTGCAAGGGAACCATAAAAACTGGTAGAAAGAAAAACCCTTGTAATTTCTTCTTTGTGTTCTTGTTTCTATGGATTTGCTGGGTTATTTGTGTGCGGAGGAGGGGGTGATGACCGTGTCAGCATGTGTGCAACTGAATTTGTTGTTTGCATTATTTATAAAACCACATCTGCATGTATGTGTGCAAATTAAGCTCTGTAATTATCTAGAAGCAAAATCTGGCAACAAACCCAGGAGAATGAAAGGGCGGGGAAGTGAAGACGAATAGAAAATTCTAATTAACTATTTTCATGCTATGCATGTAACACACTTAATATAAACAGAACATTCGCAAAAGCATCATCAACAGAAGCAGATGCTATATTTAGTCATTACAATTGAGTATGACATAAGGCCAAATAAATGTGGATCTTTTATGCTAATCATCCACTTAGATTATAGAAATAATGTTCAAAATTGTTGCTTTTACTAACATTCAAACAACAGTCTAAAAATTATCAAGGTTCTGCATTCTATGTGTTATGAAGTTTATATTAGGAAATCTAAGATTTCTTTATGCTTTGGTAAATTTGCGCTTTGCATGTAGATAAAATGAGATGCAAAATAATCAAGTTTATATTAGAAAATATCATCTTGAACTTATCCTGTGTTTTTTTTTTTTTATCTTTTCACCATAAGGAAGATGATAATGCCCCTAAAATGCAAGGGGTTAATGGAAAAAAAGAGAATGAGAAAACTTTACGGATGTGAAAGGAAAATAAAAGAATAAAATTCAGAATGACAAGAGATTGGAGTTGAATTTTTTAAGATTTAAGAAATCATAGGAGAGTTCCACAGGTGAGAAGTGTGAGAAAAAAACTATTAGAAGAGAAATTACAGTTACATCTATCTAGTTCACTAGTAAAACAGTGTGACCTAGTTATCAATCTTGTCGGTCACACAAATTTGTGCAGTTGAGGCATCAAGGATGAAAACTCTTTGAAGCAATTGCCATTAAATTATTGATAGAAGCAAGTAAAGGAAGCCATGTTATGGCTATGGGAAAGTGACTGAAGTCAAGATGCCAGGTCAGGATCGATTATATTACAAACCCTTTATGGGGTAGATTATTCCAAAACAATGAGCAAGTTGAGCATTTGAATCCACCCACAACAAAGAAAAATTCAATAAAGTTTTTTATATAAAAAAATATAAATTAATTTTATATTCATGTTTTTACAACTAAATTTTTCTCAGCATGTAGGAGTGTTAAAATTCCTTTTTTGCAGTTGCTTGTTAAGATGAAAAGAAATGAGATTTCTTCATGTGTATGTGTGATAAAAGAAGCAAGGGAGAAAGCAAAGAGGAAAGGGTAAGTGTAAACTGCTTGGTAAGGAAGACAGGTGAATATCATGTAGCTTGGTGAGGAAGAGTGTAAGTGGGATGTAGTTTGGTGAGTAATAGTATAAGTGTCACTTAGCTTGGAGAGGAATAGTGTAAGTGTCACTTAGCTTGGAGAGGAATAGTGTAAGTGTCACTTAGCTTGGAGAGGAAGAGTATAAGTGTCACTTAGCTTGGAGAGGAATAGTATAAGTGTCACTTAGCTTGGAGAGGAATAGTGTAAGTGTCACACTGCTTGGTAAAGAAGTGTGTAAATGTCACATGGTGAAAAAGAGTGTAGGTGTCATGAAGCTTGGTGAAGAAAACAGTTGAATGAGTAAGGGACTCTCTGAAGCTCTGTTATGAACTGATGTCACATGTATCCATT